ATTAAATAGGCCAGCCTACAAGGCCGTAGGCCGGGCTTGACAAAATTGGCCTATGGCCTATTTATTAAAAAAGCCTTTTTATAAGCCTAAGCCTACTCTACTTTTCTGAAAGGCTGGGCCTAGGCTGGACTTAATGTAGGCTGGGCCGTAGGCTGGGCTGGGCCGTAGGCTGGGCTGGGCCAGCCTGGCCCATTTACACCCCTATTCATAACTATTGTCACATAAAAATCACTTCTTTTCAATTGAAAAAGACGTTTGATATTCCACCATTACATTCCTCATTGGCAATTCAAGCATGCCAACCTAAGGGATTATAATTTCACTTTTTAGTCAACTTGTCCAAGCAGCATGGAGACAAATTCACATAATAGGAATCAATGTCATTGAATGTACCCTCTTTGAAAACTTTTTCATCCTTTTTTTGTTGAAAATATTTTCCTTTGTTTTCCTTCATTTATTTTTATTTTATTTTTTTTGTTTAATTTATCTCACTGCCTTGTGTTCATAACGTTAAATTGAATTTTGTAGCCGTTTTCAGTGCTTAAAGTCTTTTACCCTTAAAATAGTTCTATTTGTACATCAATTTTTTCATTCAATTATACATCGGCTTAATTTATCTATTTTTATTTGTAATTAACATATACAGTATATTCCATACCCAAAAAAAAAAAAAAAAACATATACAATATACGTTAGGGTTTGAGTCGATTCAGTGGGGTTGGATATGTGTTCGATTCCCGCTGAATGCATTCTTGGGGAGGGGGCTGAACCTTTAGCCATCACTGTTCCCCCGCACTCCGGATTAGTCTCATAGTCGGCTCAAAGAGTCGAAGCTCGTAGGGATACCGGAGGGAGCCAACTCGTCTGAGATAATTAGGATTGGGTAACTCAAAAAAAAAAAAAAAAAGGTTTGAGTAATCTGCATGAGATCATAAATTTGAATCTCAATACTAGACATTTTACATTTCACCCTTATTCATGTACAGTGTACTAACTATAGTGTGGGAACCCTGCACCACCACGGAGTCCCGTAGAACCCATGTTCAATAGCCATTAGACACTCGGAAGCAACTTCACAATTTGTACATCAGCATATATGCAATTATTAATTTCTTTTCTATTAAAAGAATTTGAACCTTGAATGTAAGAACAAAATAACTGTCAAACTAAATCCTTATGGTTCGTTACACTGCTCATGAACCTTGTATATATATATTATTATATAATATGGTTGAAAATTATATAGATGATAAAGTATACCACTGAGATTCCAGAGCTGAGGACCATGTTTTATTTTAAATTTCATTCGGTTATAGGACCATATGTTGTTACTAAAGGTTTCATCATTGAGAAAGTTCATTTTCTGGACTCTAGGTGGAATCAATCATGTTCTAGAATGCATAATTTATTGAATGGGCTCTCATTTTAAGTGGCAAACATAGAATTTCATTTAATGTTTTAGACTAATAAGCAAATGCCAAGGCTGCTAAAATCTTTTGAGTGGAGGATGTATAAAATAGTGACAAGGACATTGCCACTAGGCCAAAACCAAACAGGGCCAAAGAATGTAAATTAGAAAAAGGAGGAAATGAAAAGAGAGACCTATACTCGAAGATCTTTGGCATATTCTTATTTGGTGAATTATTATAATGTAACCTTCTATGGACCTAACTCCAACTTCCGATACATGCTCCCTCAAGGCATTAACCAGAAAAATTAAATAATTTCTTAGTCATATAATCTGTAATCTAAAACACCAATCCATGATTTGGAAAGTTCTTCCAATAATTTGATGTGAAATTGGCTGATGTCATGGAAAATTATCAACTACCTAATGATTTGTTAGTACACTACTGATGTAAAGCAATGTACACTAAACCCCACTATAGAGTTCACAGTGCAGAGCATTGCAATTGTGACATCATAAAAAGATATAACATTTGATTTGGTCCAATCAATAATGAATTAATCTATCTGTAAAGGTCAACGAGATGCATATAATGGGACATTATACCACCTTATGCAGAAATTTAGAAGCATATAAACAGTTGTTTATATTAGTTGCGCCTTAGCCAGTAGTAAAGTTATTCTTTGTGATCGAGAATTTATAGGATTGAGTCTGAAAAATAATTTCTTTACAAAAATATAAAGATAAAAATGCATACAATTAGTCTCTATCCTCATAAATTGAGAAACCTTATGAACCAGAATTTGTCCTTTTATAAACAGTTCTTCTTCATTAGATTATCATCCACCTAGAGTCTGGTTCTCCTAGTTGATTTAGTGGCTCATTATGTTGAAGCTTCATTATGATGCTGAGCTAACAAATCACAATTGACTATACATTGGCGCCATCATGACGTGAATTTCATCATGAGAGCTTCATAAATTACCATGGCCATAAATTTAAAATGTAATCCAGGCTAGCATAAGTTTAAGATAGTGTTTAGTTTAGTTTTATGGGGCAGAATATACTTATCACAAAAAATGGTTATCATCTTTACAACCAATTTAATCACCGTTGATTTCCGTCAATCTAACAGTTATAATTTATTGAGAATTAATAATTAATTAATAAGTACAACCCAATAGTTTCTAATAAAGTATAACCGTTAGATTGACGAAAATCAACGGAGATTAAGTTAGTTGTAAGGGTGATAAAAAAAATTTGTGGTAAGTATATCGTTTTCCTAGTTTTTGTTGGTATATTTTTGTTATTATGAAAACATTGTTTTATTTTATCATTTTTAGAAATTCATAAAAGTTATAATGTAAATAAACAGGGTTGAATCTTTTAAAGGAATAATATTTCTTATGTTATATTCTATCTCCTACACACACACAAAAGTATGTGGGGTTCATGTGGGATCATGTGAAGAGAGAAGAGGAAAAAAGAAATTGTGAACCCCGTATACTTTTAGGTTTTAATATTTCTACGGTGAATGTAGATAAGCTATCTACATTCACTCCCAAAACGACGTTGTTTTGAGTTAAAAAATTAAAAAATTATAATGAAAAAACTATTATAACCCTGAGATAAATTATATTTATAAAAATATCTTGATTTCCGTCCAAAAATGACATCGTTTTGCGTTCAATGTAAATAACTTATCTATATTGACTGCACAAAAAATAAACTCATACTTTTATATGCATAGGAGATAAAATTATCTCCTATAACATTACAAATATTAATCCCATCTTTTAATCACAGATTTCTTACACTAGTGTTGATCAGTTGATAAGAATAATGACCATGCGGTTGTCTCTGTGTGCCCTGCAAATAGTTGTACTTGACACAATCTTATAATAATGTAATAATGTATCATAAAATGACAACAATATTGGAAAGTATATACGCCTAAATACAAGCAGTGGGAATATTTAATTGATCCGCAAATGTTCCCATGATGAGTTACATTGTAAGTATTGTGAGATTTATCTGTTTGTAAGCACAATTAAAATAATTTAGTCCCACAATTATTAAAAGAATTCTATTTACTTGAATAAATTTAGGGATTTGTTTTGGTACTTTTATAGTGTTATCTTTTATGAAATTACAGATCGAATAATAAAAGTTATAAATGATGAAATAAAAGTTTGTAATTTTATGTATTTATAAATTTTATTATTTAACTTATAATATTTGAAAAAATATTTACAATTTAAAAAAACTACGGTACTATCTTATTTTAGACAGAGAACTAAAATAAACCTCATAAATTCATTATCCTTTACAAATTTTTAACTTAAAAACATTGAATAATAAGTAGACTGTAATTAAGTTTTTAGTACACATTACTATGCGGCAATCGTTTGTCTAACCACAATGACTAAGCAATGGGTACGGTCAGAAGAAAAGGCTATACATAAAACATAAAAGCGTGATATAAGACTAGATAAAACTTAAAAATAAAAAAAAGGAAAATGCGTCTATTATCTAACATGATGAAAGCTTCTTTTCCTACACAAACAAACAGACTTGGGATCCACAATTTTTTATTTTTTCTTTCATCAACTCATTTTCTCTCTTTTCTTTTATGTTTGTGTAGGACCAAATAGTATTTTTCAAGTAAGATTATATATGTATAACCCTAAAAAAAATCATTTACTTTTTTTTTGGGTAGTTAAAATCATTTACTTTATGAAAAAAATGTTTATCCTTTTAAATGACACAATTTATATTATTTCACTCTCACAAAGAGGTGGAACCCCATCTTTATTTTTTTGTCAACTTTCTCTCCTTCTTTATCTATCTCTCTCTCTTAAAATAACACAACTTTACATCCTTTAAAATGACACACACTTTACCCTTACTTTATTTATGCAGAAGTTTGCATCCTTGATGAAACACAAAAAATAATTCATACTAAGAGTAAAAAGATATTAATGTTTATAAAACCTGATAAAGTCATCACTACATAAGCAATAACAAAGACTCAAGCTGATAACGTATTTATAAAGATGCATTCCATAAAATACATAAAGTATTTATAATCCATAGATGAAGCATCTAAAACAAACTAAAATTATAATCTAATACAAGTTTTTTTTGGTGTTTAATCTAATACAAGTTTTTATATTACCAAATTACGGCAAGATGAAGTTTCCTTGTAATTAAACTTCAGTTGAATCAAGATTAAATAGTTTCTTATAATAGTTTTTGAACAACTAAATTTCAATAAAATCATAACAACATTGCATTATTTGATTAAGAAGTTGAGAGATTATTTAAATTAAAAATTATGAAATAATAGTTGATTTTTTCGGCTTCCTTTTTATTCTGGCCTTTTACTATTAAAATCATCACTGGAAATAGGGAATAACATTTCACCAACTAAAGACATTTTATTTTATTTTTCTTTAAAATAAAACCCACGCAACATAAGAGATAACAGCATCGAAGATTCCATGTTATATAATTGTGCAGCCAAAAGTTAAAATAAAAAGGCTGTAAGATGCTATAGTAATTGAAGGCTACTGCATTTAACTAACATTGGAAAAAGTATGGCCCTGGAACTAGCATCTAAAAATAACTACGATACAACCAGTTTGTAATGCAACATAACCTTATACAATGAATATCTCCAAATAGCATGAGACCACCAGCTCAAAGTCTAACCACAGTTAAAAAAACATTTGGTACGATATAAATTTTCATCATATGCCCAACCTAAAAAGAGAAAAATCGTAATCAGATTTGATGCATGCATGCTACTGCATTTATCTCAATTTGAAATTGCTCAATTAAGCTTTTTCCCACTCCAAATGTTTAAAATACTAAACATCAGCAAGGTAAATCTGAATGTTAAAAACATGTTCCAATATATTTTATACCAGGAGGCATGCTAACATAACCAATCAGATTAATTCATTCATTCTTGCACAATCATGCAATACTAAATTATGTTCATCATGTAACCAATTTACCACTCACTTTGAAATGCTCATTTTGTAAACCTTGCCTTATATAAACTGAGGGTAACATACTCCACTGTCACCATTCTGCCATCAAAGAAACGTCCATGTAGACAATGTGCTGCCGAAAGACATGCTTCAGTTCTTCCATACTCAACAAGAACAGAACCTGGTTCAAATACATGATCGTAAATATCATCTTCCTCATCAATGCCCTTTTTGGGAGCAACTAATTCTGAACTAGAATCACGTTCAGAAAAGCCTTCCCGAAATTCACAAACCGTGTTTTGTAAGTCCATATTGCCACCCACCATCTTATTTTCGATATCCACATCAATATTGTTAGCAACCATTTTCTCATGCAATTCTGGCCCATCATTGGGTGTATCCTGGTGATCAGGACATTCTTGAATGATACTACTGGGTATGCTCTTTTTGTCCGCAGCTTCAACAGTTCTATCACTCACAAGCTGTTCTTCATGACATGATTTATTGTCAACAACTTCATCAGCATTTTTATCAACATCGGCAGCACTACCATCATCAACTGTATCTTCTTCCAGTTCTTTTTCGTAATGGAATTCAACTCCACTTATTCCTTTGGACACGGGGGAAGCAGCCTTTTCAGAAAAACTAGATTCTGCATTATTAACGACACAAGGGTTTTCTGGAGAAGCTTCTTTAGAATCCACTTCGTTTATAACTTCACATTCTTCCAATTTGGTTGCTAAATTTTTCTCACTGCTATGCTTGACTACATTAATTGATTTGATAGACCCAAATCTGCAAGATATTAAGGACTTCATGCAATAAATGTTTATAAACTTTAATATTATGAATAATTCGAGAGAAAAAAAAATACAATTCTTAATGACCTTGCACATTCCAATCGTACATCCTCCAAAATTTCTCCAATCGCCATGTCAGATAGAGACAAAATAGACTCCAATGCGAACTATTCATATTACACAGACAGAATTCAAAAAGCAATCATCAAAATATCCAATGTAAATAACAAGAACATTTAAAAATATATATATTTGACCCAAAAGCTTAGCATGTTAAGCAAGGGACCAATAAAGATATCTACAAGTCTAATGCATCTTTTCATATGAAAGCCCACCAGGAATAAAATGTGGATTGAGTACAGGCTACAATTATTTCTACTTGAAACTAAGGAACACTTAATACTGCAATTTTCATTTTCACACCACAAGCAGTAAGGATTGAATTCATATCATGCAAAATAATATATATTACGCAACACTTAATACTGCAATTTTCATTTTAACTCTACAAGCATTAAGGATTGAATTCATGTCATGCAAAATAATACATATTCACCCACAAAACACATTGTTTACAGTGAACAAAGTCACTAATAAAAATTGAATGGGGATAAGGAAAAGTCCACTGAAAATGAACAAAAACATAACCTAACTACATAAAAGTTAAATAAAAAATTTAATACCACATTTTTAATCTCTAATACTTCTGTTGGCTTTCTGAGCAGTGGCTTTGCATGCTCTGGAATGCTATAAGATGGTGGTTTACTACCGTTTTCCTGGAATATTTATATTTTGGTTAGTACCAATCTCCAGTTATACAAAAAATTGTGGTTATAATTCAAAGGCAATCAAGGAATCACATCCAAGGATTAGAGTGGATAGCGAAGTTACCAAGGATGATGATGCATTAGGCATAGCCTGAACAACTGTAAGTACTTCCCCTCCCAGCTTCATACCATTCAAACCAGCACAAGCTTTGACGGTAACAGAGTGGTCCACATACTGACACAGTTAGCTCAAATCAGCATTCGATATAACAAAAAAGAGACTACAACAGGAAAGAGAAAATAAAAATAGAGAACAAAATAAGTACCCAAATCCAGTATAATACCCCTAACTTAAGAATTTAATTAATTACCTGTAATTAAGCATGCATAAGTGGGTAGAATTAAGTAAGAGACTAAAATTAATGAGTTAAGGGAACTTTTAAGATAAAAAGTACAGTCAGTGAGAATTATGGGGTAAAAATGGGTACAAGCAAAATTACCCAAAGGGTAAAAGTATAGTTAAAAATATGACCGGAAAAATATTCTAGTCCATCGAGTAAAGTTTGGTAGTAAATGGAGGTGAATAAATAGATAAGATTTTACCCGGTTGAAATTACTCAACCTAAGTCAACAACAAAAAAACATTTGTTCCTTTCACTAGTGACAGAGAGAAAAGAGAGGGAGAAACCATTTTTGAGCCTCAAACCCTAACTTCTTTATTTCCCAACCAAATCAACTCATTCCAAAGCCAAAACCACTTAAATCTTCCCCTCATAGTAAATACAAGATCCGTTTTGAGTGGGAGACTTTGTGGAGAGAGATCTTCCCTCTCAAATATTTCGACCCCTTTGAAGAATGGAGGAGTTTGGAGGCATTTTCATCCATGGGAGCTTAGGAGACCTCTATTCCTTGGTTGTGTGATCTATTATGGCAAGTTTCCACTTCTCCAACCTAGTTTTCTTGGAGTTTTCTAGAGGTTGAAGACAATGAATAGTGTTTTTTTGTGGGTTTTATGAGTTTGAGTAAAATTGAGGCTAAATTCCTCTGGAAATATTGTTAGGAATGATAAATAATCGGTAGAAATGAGTTTAGATTGTCATTTGATATTTGGAGAAATCTATGCTTGAAATTGAGGATTTCTTGCATTGTTAGCCTTGATTGGTTATATGTTTGATGGTGTCCCTTGAATGGTTAGGATTGAAACAAGTGGACCAAGTGGAGTGACCAATCCTTGTGGTTGTGCTCAATTGAGGAAAGGAAAACTTTGAGGAAGGTTCAAGTGTAAGGTAAACCTTCGGACCTTGGGGTTGATCTCCTTGAATGTTCCACCATACTCCGTTGAGGAGGAATGGTTTATGAGGTGTGATATTTAATGATGATAGTAAATGTATGCTCATGCATTGATTCATGCATTGATAAATGTTATGATTGCTTAATCATCATTGATTGATGTTTGATTGTTTAAGAGTAATTGAGGAATGGTTGATAGATGTAAAATTAATGAATGAGGTAAGGTTGAGGATTGGGATTGAGGATATGTTAATGGTTGAGAGATGAGGTAGAAAGGATTGAATGGTCCTTGGATCAGTCCAATGGATGTAACTAATATGATGGAGGGGTGGTCTTCCTTAGAGCCAGCCCTAAGGGAAACTCCTTGTGGTTTTTACCTGAGAGGAACAACCCTTGAGGATCCCTCTTGAAGCCATCATGCCAGTAAGGACTTCCCCTGGAAACAACCCTATGAGGATCTTTAGGTGGTTTGTCTTACCCTTGGAAACAGCCCTATGTTGATCTCCTTGTGCTGAGAGCCTAAGAGAGACAACCCTTTTGCATGCCATTTAGTATGGTTATATGTGTAGGTCAATTGCACCACCATGTGTATATGTATTTATTTTGAAGTCATATGATGTATTTTGGAGGACTTAATGCATGATCATTGTAATGGTAATTGCCATGTTGTTTATGAGTCACGGCTTTGATCTTGTCTCTTTGGTAGCTAAGTCCTTTGGCATGTAATTATTTTGAAGAGCATAGGTGTAATTGAGATATTGATACATTGATGAATGTGAAGTTATGTTTTATCAATTTGAAATGTATGTGGAATGTGAGAGCCTCATGGTGTGTGACCATGGTTGGAAATCCTTCATCAATTAGGTAGCAATAAGTTGGAGAAAGGAGGGAGGAACTCCTTCAAGTGAACCACCAAAAACAAGGGAGATCAAGTCTCCCCAAGTGGAGCACGCTCAAGCGCTGATAAGAGCGTTCAAGCACGCTGTGAGCGTGAAATAGAGGAAAAATCTCTGCCTTTGGGCGCTCAAGCACGCTGAAGACTTGGAGATGGCCAAACTTTCTGTCTCTGGGCGCTCAAGCGGCCAGTAGAGCGCTCAAGCGCGCTAACAGACGAAAGAATGTGTTCGAAGAGCGTGCTCAAGCGCCCTGTTGGATTTCAGCACGGATGTAATTTAGTAAAATTGGCATAACTCGAGCACCAGAGCTCCAAATTGAGTGAGGTTTGAACCTATGTGAAGTTAACACATAGGGCTATAACCCTATAAAATATTAGAGCAATTGGATGAGTATATCAATACCAGTTTAGGATTGAAGTTGATGCTACAATTCCGAAAGTTCGATTTCGTCAGCTTACCTTGCGAGTTTAATAACTCTGGCTATACTTAACCAAATGGTTATTATAATATCTTTTCGAAGAGCCCTAGACATCTAATTTATCATAATGAAAAGGTTAGAGTTAATGGTCAAGTATAGTGATCTCAGTTTAGAGAATGTTACATGGTTACAATTACGGTCTTGGTTATATTAAATACGGTTTTGTTTTAAAAAGTAAATGAACAATGTTTAAAAGAAAAAGTTTATCTGTAGTTTTAATTAAACTAATGTGATTGTAACTGCACTTAATATCATCAGTAATGTTAACGTTTACGGGTGTACAACAGGGTGTTACATCCAGCAAAATTAAATAACAGGATATATGTTGGCTTTCAGAATTTTCCATCGTAGAATTGGAAAAGATACTGAATAGAAAGAATAATAGCTTTTGGAACAGAATAATTGCTTTTGGAACAGCTCAAACTGTTAAGTTAACAAGTGAAGGATAGAAACGTATTATGCCAAAATTTATAAAACTTAATCAAACCACCATTCCATCAAGTTGTTTACATTTTGCACCTAATGGGTTTACCCTGCCGAAAACTCTACAGAGTGGCTCAGTCAGTGGTTTCAGGTGGTAACACAGAAGTAAGCCGTATACATAAAATTGTGTGCACTGCACAGAACAATTTGTTAGGTTGCTTGTGATGAACTAATTTGTTTGCTGGAATTAAAAGGAACGGTTCAGTTATTTGATTTGAGTTCTGTAAGACCACTCAACTGGCTCAGGAAAAGGATGCATGAATCATCATCTAAAATGACTGTTAATTAACTAAGGGGAGCAAGATGCTTCAAATTGGCAACCTAAGTAGTGGAATAAGAATTCTTACACGAGGGTAACATCCCAACCCCAGTGGAAGAAAAGTACTTATTTTCTTTGCACTTGGACTGAAACTGAGTTTTAAACACACTGATGAAGAGTACGCAATAGATGGGGGATTTTAGAAAGAAAGAAAAAATTTACAGATAAAAATTACAGAAAATACCCATATCACAAATTAACCATTTAAACAAATATTAAAGGAATGGATCTTAAGTCACTTGGGCTTCGCTCAGGTTGTTACGCAGGTAAGTTTAAATCATAGTACTTCCATGTAAAAAATATAAGAAGAAAGAAATGCAGCCTTACCTCCAGAAAAGCACGTGATCCATTGCTGTCGTCCGTCTCAAAGTGGTAAGCCTTCAAAGATCCAAATGCACCAGCAATGTCCACAAGCTAAAGAAGGAAATATAAAAAATAAAATAAGTATTAGTTGCATGAAAGGTAAAGTATGTAGATGGAAGAGGGATTTTTTCATTTCTTAATAATTACCATCTCTGAAGAAAGATGATTTGAAATTCCACCAATGAAGATCTGCAGAAACATTAAAAGACACAATCACTAGACAAACAATTAATTGACCTATACAGTATAGCAAAGCACACATGATAGCAATTCGCAAAGATAGTTAAATCACACAAAGTACCAAGATCAGAAACATTTAACAATATGGAAGGATGTCCTTATCAAAAGTCAAAACCCAGAATACACTTAAAGCTATGTAGTCAGGAAACAATAACTGAAAAGTCAACATAACAAGCTAAGGAGATCCTTTAATGGAAAAACGGGTTCATTGAGAAAAACAATGAAGTTACTTCTGCTGAAATGGCCCATCGTAATAATTTTATGCAAGCATTAATTACATATAAAATGCTATATTGTTTTTTTTTTTTTTTTTTTTTTTTTTTTTTTTTTGGTACATTGCCAGGAGGTATCCCCATTCAACCTTCTCCGGGCACCATGCCCTCGGGGTACGGCCCGTTTGGGCTAGCCCCTCATTGTAACAGTAGGTGCACTAAGCTTCGCAACCGGAGAAAAGACGAGACTAATCCCCCAACCGAAGATTTTTTGACTTATCCTCTGGCCCCCAAAGATTTTTCAAGAAACTGCTTGAGGCAGGGTTTGATCCCTGCACCAAGCAATCCCTTGGAAGCTCAGCTGCCAACTGAGCTACCCTTGGGGGTTACACAGGAATAATACATGATGTGGGTTTAGTGGTGGATGTTTTCTGTTTTTCTTCATTGATCAAATTAAATTTTCTGTTTTTCCCCGGGAAGCAGATCTATGGTTTGCTGTTGGAAAAATCAAACTATGTTAAATATATGCCTGCTTATGTTTTATGTTTGCGCACTTGGTTACAGCAGTGGGGGAAATAGCGTCTTAAGTAAGTAAAAAACAGAATATTGTTGCTCAATCAAGTGAAAAATCCGAATATAGTCCAAAGCAGAATACCATTTTATTGGTGAGAAGGAACAGCAAGCAGCATATTCAAACAAGAGACAGGCTAGCTGATGTTATTAACAAGCTGAAACTAGACATAATTAATAATCAAGTCTCAACTTAAGGAAGAGTGTTCATGGTACTAGGATAATGGTATTATGTCTCATAATATTACAATTCCTATATCAACCCTTGTACATGTGCATATATACATACACCTGTTCAGTTGTGGACTATGGTTTTCAAACATCACACTGTGCTTCTCTTTAACAATTTCAATAATTACATATAAATATTGTTCTGTGTTGTAAATAGAATACTTTGATGTAAAGGACAAAGTCCAACATCACTCTCTTGATTATATTGTTTCCTTTACTAAAACTTACGTGATTTTTCTAGGACCAGAGTTCGGGGAGGACAATTAGCGCCAGATCTGAGTCGAATGGCCTTTATCATTTATTCACTTCAACCCCCGTGTGCTCTGTGGTGGATTTTTCTCTTACAATTCACGCTCGGTTGGGTTATCCAAGCCTTGCGAACTTCATAAGATGGTGCCACATTTGTCTACATTATCTAGTTTGTCATGTGAGTGTTGTTACTTAAGGAAACATACTCAGTTCATTTCACAATCACAGTAGTCATCACGCTTTGTATCCTTTCGCTTTGGTTCGTTCCTTCAGATATTCGCGATCCTAGTTGTACTGTTTCTACTTTGAGGTTTTCGTACTTTGTTACTTTTATTGATGATTACTCTCAATATACTTGGATATTATTAATAAAAAAACTGTCCGAGTTATTTTCTATATTCCAATAGTTTTACGATGAAATACTTAGCCAATTTGGTGTTTCTAATCGCACTTTTCGTAGTGACAATACCCGTGAATATTTTTCCCCATCAATTTTATACCTTTTTCACCTCACACGACATTCTTCACCAAACATCATGTTCCCATACAACCCAACAAAACAAGGTCACTAAACGCAAAAACCATCACATCATTGAAACTACTTGAAGCTTTTTACTCTATGGCTATGTCCCCTTTCACTTTTGGGGTGATGTTGTTCTTACTGGGTGTTATCTTATTAACCACATGTCATCCTCTGTCCTTGATAACCACAAGTAACTCACTCGGTTTTATTTCTCCACCAATTGTTGCATTCCCTGGCCTCTCGCATTTTTGGGTCTACTTGTTTTGTTCATAACCTCAACCCTATTCTTGACAAATTGTCTTCTAAGTCCCACAAATGTGTGTTTCTTAGGTATACTTGGTCACAAAAGTGTTATCGTTGTTACTCTCTCAATCTTCATTGTTATTTTATCTTGGCATATGCTACATTTTTCCAGTATGTTCCATACTTTGACTCTGCCTCCTCTCCAAATGACTCTATCTCTTCTCCATCACCTTTGTTTCCTATTTTGGTTAAGTATATACCACCACCACCATTATCCCTTCTTGCTCTAGATGTCTCAACCTCTAACTGACCCTTACAGGTTTTTCACTGTTGACTGCGTCCTCCTATGTCCCTTGCTCGAGACTCTGTTGTTGATGAGGCTCCGACGTCACCTCCTCCTACGGCTCCAGCCCTACCCTCTGACGTTGACATTGACATCAACCCATAAAATAAGCTGGTCATGTTCATGTTGAAGGTTTTAACCTAATTTTAAATTCGTGTCGTATTCCTGTTAAGTGTATTCGTGTTCGTGTCTAGTCGTGTCAACCCGAATTGCCACCCTTAATTTCAAGATCATTTTATTTGATAGTATATGTTGACGACATCGTCATTATAGGTAATGATCATCATGCATTACTCTAGCAAATTAGTATCTCAGCCATCATTTTCAAACAAAAGATATTGGTAAATTTTGATATTTCTAAGAGATAGAGAATGATATTTATGATATGCAAGAGAAAGTATGTTACAAATATTCTTTAGGAGGTAGTTTTGCTGAATGAAAAACTAGTTGATACTTCTATGGATCCAAATGTCAAGTTTCTGCCAGATCAAGGGGAACCATTCTAAAATCCATAAAGGTATAGAAAATTAGTTGGGAAGTTGAACTACCTCGCCATCACTAAACCAAACATCTGGTTTGCGGTCAATGTAGTGAGTCATTTCCTAAATTCTCCATGTGAAGATCACTAAAATGCAGTGATTCGTATCATCAAGTACATCAAGTCCGCTTTAGGGAAAGGTTTCTTCTATGGAAACAAAAATCATACTCGATTTGTGGAATCCCCAGATGCTGATTGGGCAGGTTGTCACACTGAGAAAAGATCCACATCTGGATACGGAGTTTTTTGGAGATAACTTAGTTTCCTGGAAAAGTAAGAAATAGAGTGTGGTTGCCAGATTGAGTGTTGAGACATAGTATCGTTCCAAGGCCACAGCCACTTGTGTACTCATCTGGCTACAAAAATTTCTTAAAGAACTGAAGTTTAGAGACAGTGGAACAGCAACACTCATTTGCAATTGTTAGAGATATATAAAACCATTAATATAACCTCACCCACTAACTTAAGCTTTTGGATTGAATTGGTTCTTTATATGGTATCAGAGCTTCAGTGACCATGAGGTCACGAGTTAGATGCTCACACCCCCCCCCCCCAACTTTCTCTTGTGCAATTTTCTTAGCACAGGTAGGTGGGTCTGTGCATTGTCCACCCTTCAAGCCTAGTGGGCTCTCGTGTGAGGTGGCGTGTGAGAGATATATAAAACCATTAATATAACCTCACCCACTAGCTTAAGTCTTTGGGTTGAATTGGTTCTTTACAGCAATAATCAAGTTGCTTCGCATATTGTCTCCAATCCAGTGTTTCACGAAAGAACTACGCATATTGAAATAAACTTTCACTTCATCAGAGAGAAAGTCCTTTCAAGAGAGATCGTCACACAGTTCGTCAACTCAAATAATCAACTAGCAGATGTCTTCACTAAGTCCTTGAGGGACCTCGAATAGATTACATTTGTAACAAGCCTAGCGCATATGATTTATATGCTCCAGCTTGAAGGGGAGTGTTGAGAGTGCTATAAATAGAATAGTTTAGTGCAAGGGACAAAGTCCCACATCATGTATCATTCCTGTGTAACCCTTTTTATTCAGTTATATACTCATGCCTCCGCTGTGTATCTTAATCATGCGGATTACATCATGTCTTTCATTTTCTTCTCTCATTGACAAATATAAATATAAATTGATGTTTGACAATAATAAATTGAATCAAATATGCATTTTCGTACAACATTTACAGAATTCATACACTAACACTCATTGACTGCAGTGAAACTTCCTCATTCCACTGTGTAATGAAAAGATGAAGCCATGTGGTATGAAGAGTTTCAGCAATTCAACCATGCATAAAAGCTTACTTCATAAAATAGAAAGGTACATGCTTAGCATTCAGCTTGAAACTTACACATATGAAAGTAAACACATCACGTCAAGATTGTTTTGCAGGCATACCTTATCAGGTGAATCAATTACAACATCACTTATTGTGACAGCAGTATCCACTGATCTCTCTGGTTCACCAGTCTGCATGAAAATAGCAATTGTCTGAAAACCTGCTACATGGATGATAACCACAATATACCTTAGAATAGAAAAGTATACGAAATGGAATTAGTTTGAAATAACAACTTTGATCGCAGAACAAAATAAATCCAAAGAGATCAGTCAACATTAACCTTACTTTTAAGATAAAGAAAGGGAGCAACATATGCAACTTAGCAAACAAAAATGTATTAAAATAAAAGGTTAGCCACCAATATAAAATCCTGTCAACAACTTCTCGATTAAATCAAAAATGTGCCAAATATGATGAACCAACGCATAAGCAAGCACTATATTATACATTAATGTAATGTATATTATTCTTTTGACAAGCTTCTTCATGTATACATACAATCAATTTCCAATGCAACATAAAAATGGCTTCTTTTTAAGAGTTTAGAATCCTCCTAAGAGGTCCACTAGACAACAGAAACATGAAGAAAAAACAAGATTTTTTTTTTTGTTTCCTGGTGATCGAGGGAAAAAGGGAAGAGTTAATAAATTCAAGATAATTGAGCACCAAATACTTCCTCAAGTAATCCGATTTCATCAGAGTGATACCATAAACCAAGTTTGAAATACCATAAGTAGTCACATCACATACTATCAATTAACACAGTGTAAAAGAAAAATAAAAATGTTCCAAATACTTAAATATTCCATTTTCTTTAATGTAGTTCACATGTGAAGACCACCTGCATGGTATCAAAAGCGTCATTGTGAAGAACAAGAAATTTAAGAGATAAAACTGAGGCCTCCATCTAACTGAACCAAAAGGATCTCATTTTTTGTCATTAGATTATGTAGCAACTCTCTGCAAGAGAGCATACTTGTTTATCCCTCAAAATTAATTAATCTAATGAACATAAACAAAATGAACAGAATTACTATCAGACCAAATCACCCTTCAGAGATGAAGTTACACAAGTATATACAGCCTCACAAAGGATGCCATGTCAGGATCAAATACTAGAGGACCGTTTAAGACACTATCATTTCTTTAAGCACGTACCATTAATATGTTAAAATCAACTGCAGTGAGAAAAAGAACCACTTAAATGTATATGTGGACATACTAACTCCAAATTAATCAAGGATCTTCTTTTAAGCAACGTCTGTGTCGTATGTCAAAGTTACAAATACCCATGCACATAAAATTTCATGTGTAAGGGGAGAATATATTGAGCTAAGAATGGTGAATGCACCTCGTCCTTTTTTTTTTATGAGGTAAGATGCAACTCATCTAAGTTAATTAAGGAAGAGGCGTTGTCACCATGCAACATAGTCCAAATGTTCAAGCCTCGGGATATTGGATATGAAGATAAATTAGGATCCCAAGGAAATGAAGAAATCAGACACTGGAACCAAGAGTGACATTAGAAACTCAGAAATAACCTGCAACCCATAGCACTTACATGCTGAACTCGATATAACAAACAAAGCATGAGATCATAAATAGCATTGTCAGAGCAGCCTAGAACAACAACCCTGAAACATTGGCCAGCTAAATCCTGGTAACGCATCAAACTTGTCAATACACCTGGAAGTCTTCTTAATTACGAGTCGGCTTCATCACCATCCAGAATGTGTATTATGATATACCCCATATAAACATCCTATTTAAAAGATTCCAATACTAGGGTCAGAAAATATCTCATAAAATGGAACAAGCAGATCACTCCATGTGAATTATAAAGCTCTTGAAGCTACAGAAGCAGTTTCTAGCATTTGGTTATGAACAATATGAATTCATTTTCCAAAGGAATGTCCAAGAAACCTGACTAAATATGTCATGAAACAAAATTCCACGTTTATAAAGACACCCTTATAAGCATAACCCGGATGATAGGAATTATGCCTTTAAGGCTAAGTAAAGTTGAGATTTAAGCCTTCAAGGCTGACGACAATACAGCCTCTAAAAGTTAGGCCACACTAACATAAGATTCTTAATGGAAAAAACATAAGTGAACTAGAAATTTTATACTGCGATTATGATTATTTTATCATATGTTTGATGTATGACATAAAATTAGAATCTTGGTACATTTTTCAAACATAAATTTACATTACCAACTGAAATTATTTGCAACTAATGCAGTGGTACCCCACCTTTGGGTTCATTTTTATGAGTATACTAGTGGAGAAAAATCCAGTGGGTAAGGTTATCTTGTCCAAAAACCTGACAAATATGCACAAGGATCAAAGTTATCCTGTCCACTAAAAAGTGCATCATGACAAACAATACTTCAATAAAAATATATTACCAATTAATAAGAGTCACTAGTTTTCTTCTGAGCATGGAAATTCTCAAACTAACTTGTTTATGGTGCTTCCACCATTGACTCATAAGAAACATAAGCATGAATTATTTTATTTTATTATTTTGGATCAAAAGTAAGCATTAAATGAAAGTAAATTTTAAGTACTTCTTGACCTAAACAAACACTTAAAGAATATTATGTTTTACCGAGTTACGTAAATCTCCCATAGGCCAGTTGCAAGAGCTTTCACAAAGGAGGGTAAGGGTTCAATTAACTTTTTAAGTTATAGAAATGTGTGTCAGATCAGACCACAAAAGGTATCTATTTATCATAATGAGTTACATGGGCTTGGACCCTATTTACACAGTGTGGGACAACTATACAAGTTTCCTATGCACATATATTGTAACATGCTAGTGCGTATATATCACATGTGCCAAGTTTGCTACAAATACAAGTAAACGTAACCCATGGTCCCCATCGCCAAGGGCAAGGAACAGCAAGGGCTTGTGATATATACGCACAATATAAGTAAACGTTCTTAATGTCAAGTTAAAAAAGTGCTAATTACACACAACAGCAAGGGCAAGGAACAAGCGAACAAAGGCCAATCTTGGCGACACGAGAGTAGATGTCCACATAATCAAGGCCAAAGATCTGAACGTAACCCATGGCCACCAAAAGAGCTTTGAGGCAGTCAATTATGCCATCAGGGCTGATTTCAATAGTGAACACCCAACGGCATGCAGCACTTGTTAATGCAGGAGCGAGAACAAAATTGCATGTGCCATTTGAATACAGAGCAGACATTGCATCAATCATCGGTTGGCACTAACCTGGATGAGATAGTGCTTCGCCTATGGTCTTAGAATGGAAACAAAGAAACATATGCTTGAAAAATATGCTTTGTGTACCCAAACTCTCCACTAACCTTATATCCACTTATAAACTTACCAAAGATTTATATAGTGTCAAGACATTATTTTCTACTCATTTTAAGATTTCACCACGGGAAGAACGATTGAAGTTGTTGAGCAATAAGGCAAGTTGTACTATCTCCTCCATTGAGAACTAAACATGGTGTCAATACGCGGTTTCACTCCTGAGTCTCTTAACTCTACAATTTGGCTACATGACAAGAATCTGGAACACCCTCTTTTTAATCTTCTTAGAACTATGTCGCCAACTCATGGGTCATTTTTTCCTAGAGGTTCATCTATGCAACATACAACATATTGTGATGTTGATTGGGTTAGGTGTCTAGAATCTCGTCAGTCTACTACAGGATGGTATCTGATTCTAAGTGATTCCTTGATTTCTTGGAAACATAAGAAATAGGTTCCTATTCCAAATCCTCTACTAAGGGTGAATATCATACAATGTTCTCCACTTGTTTCGAAATTGCATGGCTCCACAATCTTTTAGATGTTGTTGGCTATTCACAGACTCACTCTACCACTGTTCATGGTGATAATATGAGTGCTACTATGATTGTAACAAATCATGTTCTTCATTAATACACCAAGCATATCGAGGTTGATTATCATTATATTCGAAATGCATTGGACTTTGACCCATATGCTGATTGGACAGTTGATAAGCTTGTGTCAACGCTTCAATCTGAAAGGCTCTTGGTGTGAAGGGATGTTTATGACATATGCAGTCTAGCCCATCCTCTTTCTCTTGGATGCATGCTAGCCCTAGCCGCCTCTTGTCCTCCTATCATGAAGTTTTGCCACTTTAGTGTTTGGGATAGGTTATTCTGTCAACTCTTATTTTGCCTACCTCTCTCAACATCATTAGATTACAATCTCATCCAACGGTGGAGATTTGCGGAATAAAATAAACCCTTTCCCCTTTCTTTCTTCTTACTACCTCCCACACTCTTTCTCTCTCCTCCTCTTTCTCTCTATCGATTTGCGTAATTTACAACCTGTATTTATATTTGAATCTAAATCCATGCAATGATTAATGGCATGATCGTTCTGTTGGATGAATATAATTTTCAAAATTCTTTGAATCTGATATAATTGAACACGGCAGAAACCGCAAAAATACAAAATAAACGACAACCACGAATAATCCCTTCCATTGAATTAATTCACGAACATTTCTACTTAGATGTTGAAATTTGAAATCGAATCAACTTATCTCTTTCTTATCTTGTTTTTTGCCTTGAAGTGGAGAAATGATCTCTGTTCTCTCTATGTTACGCCCGCCAACAGGCCTACCTGATTCCATAACATAGGGCATCTGGGTTTGTTTCTTCTTGACACCCCTTTTCAATTCTTTATGTAAATTCTCATAACAATGGCTAGGTTGGATGGATTGAGAAAAAAGTTTGCAACTTTTTTTTATGCTGAAGTGCCATTGAAGAGAGAGAAAGGGGAGGAAAGAGAAAAAATAAGAGGCAATGGGAGAGCGAAAGGAGCAAAAGAGTTTATTTTATATAATAAATCTCCACCATCGGATGAGATTGTAATCTAACGGTATTGAAAGGAGTAGACAAAAGTAGGCAAAATAAAAGTAGGTAGAATAATCTATCCCTTAGTGTTTTAGCTTTGTTTCACAATTATCTTCCTCGTTCACATAGTGAACATTTTGTTCTATTATCACCATGGCTAAGGATGGCAATGGCAGTAAAAACCTCAAAGTAGTCACATGGTCTTGTTGTCCTTTCTATGTACATTCATCAATTAATAAAAGAATCTTGTTGATGAATGTTGTATTGCGTGTTGAAGCTAATTGGGTAAAAGCCATGAAAAACCCACTGAAGCAGAAGAATAAATCGGGATTCATCACCGGCTCCACTTTTATATAACATTAGGCAAGAAACAAATTGTTTTTCTAGCTCGCAAGTGGGAGTATTAAGGATAAAATATCAAGATGATATCGTATAATATTAATAGTACATCTTAATATAATTTAAAGTATCCTAGAGGATCTTTTAAGATTTTTTTCCCTATTTTCTTATATTTCATGATTTGTTTCCTTATTTTAGAAGTTCCCTATTTAGTATAAATAGACTTTAGTGCTTTGTCTTTTGAACTACTTCATAACACATCAATATACAATATTATTCAATCCTCTCCCTTTTTTCTTCATCTATGCCTAAATCCATACAATTTCAGCAATCTCCTGTAATCTATCCTACATTGTGCAACACATTTTAAATTCTGTCTATTTTACAAGAAAGGGCCACAAAAAGCCCATCAGTTTTTCCAAAAATCTCTCTTGATATTTGACACGGTATCCCTTCATATTTGACAGACCCAACCAAAAACACTCAACTGAAACGAGCAACTATTTGTTTACACATTTTAAGATAAGAAAATAGGAATACCAAAAAAAGTCATAACTCAAATAAATTGTATATTTCAGCAAAATAGAAACTCAAGAAAACATACACTCCAAAAAAAGTTGTTCATTAAAAAGAGAATATTTCATGTCGTACCCAAAGATTTTGGTTCACATACTAAACTTTCAGCTTATATCTAGCGCAAACAAGTATCAAAATAAGATGCAATTTGGCGTATGCCAAGCATAAGTACCTATTTCTTTATTGACAGAAAAGTAGATAGAACACGAGAGAAGGGCTAATTTCAATAAAAACAGAGTGTCTGACTAATCTGATAATAAGTGATTACAAAAGATTAAAAAGTTCATACTAAGTAATACATATACTAGTTAAGAAGGTGATACAGCCTATGCAGAAATCTACGTTTTAATTATAATGATGGAAAGGTCTGCAAAGGGAATAAAATTGAGAGTTTTTTAACACACCTAAGATGCTTTGACTTGTAGTTGAGCTAGGTGGGAACAAATTACGTGATATTCATAGCATATAAACTTCACAAAGGAGTAACATATTGAAATTAAAAAATACGGAAATTTTGAAATATCTCGAATCAGAAACGTAGAGCCTACTCTAAGAAACCCCACACCATTACTCCAGGTCATTTAAATCCATATTGACAGATTAAACTGCATTATGTTAATCAATGATGAAAATTAACTCAAGAATTTTAAAGACAATATAGATCTAAGCAGCATGACAACATACCATCCAATGATTCATAGATAAGACTAGTATTAATGCATAGAATCTCATAGACACCCTAATAATAAGGCCTATGCTACAATGTAGGGGATGGGATGTAGAGAATCAGCCATGTGGAGGGAGTAGGAAATTCGGTTAGGGGAGTGAGATAAATGTGAAGAGAAGGAAGAGTAGGAATCAGGTAAGAAATGTGTTAAGGTTTAAGGGCACTTTGGGCAGGGAGGTAGACAGACCCTAAAAAATCTGCAAGTGTTTCTATCTTTATTCTCTGTTTTTCAGTGTCATCAAGAGGAATTTTCCCCATTGCAAGAAGCTATATTCCATTGTTTCTTATCAGTAAAAACCAGTTACTATCAATATCTTAAATTACTACAGTAGATTGTTCACAGTTTGAGGAAAAGAAAAACAGTTAGAAGTTACAAAACTTCAGACCAATTTGCTAATCTTACACAGCATCAAATATAATGGTTTCAGTGTTAACACTTTTGGAGCCAATTTTCAGTTGTAATAGAGCACTCATCAATAAAGTTTTAAAACATTTTAATATAAATGAATTTAGCAGGACATAGGAGTCAATTGTTGAGACATGCAAACACCCCAAGTGTCAATCATCCAATACAACATTTAACCCAAGATGGATACCCTAAGTGTCAGATACATTTTACAACCTTTTGACATCGCCAGAGAAAGCTTTAATTCAATTTTGGCTTCACTATTATTCTAACTGATTTTGAAATAGAATGATAGACCCTTCTCAAAGTGATTCATGCTGTGAACCTGGATATTCTAAAATTCACCATGAGTGTAAAGTGCAGTTTGGTAACTAACGGAAATTAACAACATCCATTACCATACAATATCTAACAATTAAAGAAGACCAAAGCGAATATTTGAATCTTCATTCATTAATGGTGACTAAAAGCACATACAATAGGGACCAAAAAGCTTATTTTTTTGCTTTGTCATCCTAAATACAAACTACCAGATATCTATATTAATAAAGTCAAACTAAACTAAGATAAACATAGAAAGTAAACCAATAGAGCTGCATACAATCAGAAGAATCCATAAGTGCATGTTAAACGATTAATTATCTACTTTAGTCAAAAACACTGTAGAATGTTCAGGCCATCAAATTCAAGAAACCCACTGATATCAATAAAATAATAGAAGAATGCACAAGCATAATAGGCGGAATTCAGTAATTTCAATTTGAAACATCACTATCATCACAACATCAATAAGAAAACCAATTTACAGCTAAAAAAAAAAAAAAAAAAATCTGTCAATTTAAAGCAAGTATAGACAAGCAAAATAAGTAGTAGGACAATTTTTATCTGAAATTTTTTTATAAATGGTTTCACACTTTTTTCAGAAAATCAATTGAACTTTGGTAGAGGAAATACTAGAATATAATACCTATAAAAAAATCAAAATCAAAATCAAAATTGAATTCAAGAAGAGAAAAACACCATACACTTATAACAGCTATTATATTAATACAGATGGAAGAATGAAGGTGACGGATAAGATTTTCATTCTTACTGCAACTTCAACATAGTCTTTGGGGCGTCTAATTTTCACGATGGAGCCAAATAATGTACTTCCATCAAAAGAAAGAGCCGTTGATGCATCCTCAGCTGTAAGGAATTCTACAAGTGCTTGGCCCTTATCCTTGTGCAACTGCAGTGAAGATACGCAAAAACAAACTCAAACCTGTTTTCATAGGGGGAGAAAAACTAAACTTTCATATTTTGTACTACAAACTCACAATGCAGCTGATACATGGTTGAGCTTGTTGGATATGATTTACACCAACAGAGAGCAAGAGGTTATTGAAACAATCCATCACAGATTTCTCAGAGGCCGAAGCTGGTAGATTCTCAAGATAAAGCCTTCTCATAGGCCGGGTAGCTTGAGTCAGTTGGACAGAACCAATGTTGGCATTCTTCCCTGCTGATACATCGTTCAGAAAAGAAACTGGCAGAGGCTTCACCATGGCTAGATCCAGGGAAGTAGCCGAAGCCACATCATGCATGTTGGATAACACAGTATAATTTGATAATTGAAAACTAGAAGAAACAAAAGCTGGAGAAGGATTATCTGTCCCTACAGGGGGAAGATCCCATCCAGCACGTTTCTTCTCTAAAGAATGCTTAGATGGGGAAGGAGTCTTAACAGCAGCTTCACTTTTCCTCTTCCTCGGAGAATAGCCGCCAAGTCCACTCGTAGAGCCACCATGTCGATGATGGTGACTACTAGAACCATTAGTTGATACTCTGCTTCTATCAACATCAGTATGCTTTTTTCTAGAACTATCTTTCAGAGAAAGCATAGACGACTCTTCACGCTCTCCATCATGATAAGTATGTTTTTGTGCCCTGGGTGAAAAAGAAGAGGACTTTCTTCTATCTTCACGCTCTCGACTTCTTGACTGTCTCCTCTTTGCTGTTGATTCTTCATAATGTGACTTCACCTTTTCCCGCTTCTCCTTCCTCTCATAAATGTGTGGGTTATGGTGTTTCACAAGATCTTGTTTCCTTGTTGCATTTCTGTCTTGTGCTTCATCATCTCCGTTACGGTATTTTCTCCTGATATCTCTTTCATATTTTGCTCTACCCTCTGCATGCTTATCCTTATCTGAATCTCTATGATACTTCTTTTCACGTACTTCTTCAGAATTATTGCTTAACCGCTTTTTCATTTTCCACCTATCATGTCTTTCTTTGTCATGCTTCCTTTCAGTATGATACTTGTCAGGATTCTCATCATCTCCAATTTGGTTTTTTCTCTTTTTGTTCCTTTCAGATTTTGATCTACTTATTTCTGCATAACAATCCTTATTAACTGATTCTCTTGAATGCTTATTTCCAGCTTTATACTGAGAGTTATCACTAATTCGCTCATTTTTTCTCCAACCATGCATCTCTTCACCAGTCTTATCTTTAGTTACTCTGCCTTTATCATTTAATGCAGTACTTGATTTGGTTTCTAAAATATAGTTTGCTCTATCATCCCCTTCAGTTAAATCATCTTTCTTTACATACGTGCTCTCAACCTTCTTTCTAGAACTTACATTCACTGGCTCCTCCAAAGCATGTTTCTCCGTGCCGAAGGATGAACTTTTATCATCTCTATCAATTCTTTCAGACTCAACATGATCAGCAATTTTCTCTGAAGAACCTCCAGGTGATGTATTCCATGCTTCCTTGGCAGGGTCCTTTACATTTTCAAGCAATTCTTTGTTACTTCTTCTAAGCATAATCTCTTCAAAACTAATTGGCCTTGTACGGGCTGCGCTCTCTTCATCATAATTATCCACAGAAAACCAATTACTTTTTCCAAGCTTCTCCTTCAAACGATCAGATCTGCTCATCTTGTATGATGTAAACAAATAACAAAGGAAATTAATCACGCCCCTACTAAGAGATTAAGGAGAGCATCCGTGAATTGACATGTTGAACTATTGAGACTGTCCTAGTTAGATTATACCATGTCCTGAAAACAAAAATAAAAATTATATCAAGTAAATACATGGTAGGAAATTCCATTTCATGCATTAATAAGTTCATTGATTTCTTCCAATAATGTCATGAAGAAAAGATTAACTACAAGTTGAATACAAAAATTTGTTCCTTATATGGCTCCAGTATCTAGAAAGCTGGACTTAGCCAAATTAGCAGGTAAATTGAACAGCGGATCTAAAGTCCATATTTGCTTTGTCAACAGCATTGTGAATGCATAATAGATAATTAGCATACCAAAGTTAACTTCAGGGGAATAAAATCATATAATAGGAAACTATATTGCACCTGGGGCCAAACTTTGAACTTAAAAAAAAAAAAAAATTGTTAGTACTTCACATAAAGAGTGACAGTACAACAACAACAACAACCAATGCTTTTTCCCAATAGATGGGGTCAGCTACATGAATCATGTAGCGCCATTTAAATTTGAATCCTGTAAATAGTTTCACTTATACTTTTTCTTGGTCTTCCTCTACCTCTAGTAAAGTGTCATTCCTACTTTCTCTCTATTAGAGTAGTAGCTTATTCTGTATCTGTTTGTATCTGATTATATCTCTGTATATCTGATTAGTTAGTTAGTTCCTGATCTTCTGGGAATTAGTTGCATTAGTTACAACTGTCTAGTTTCTGTTAAGCGTCTAGCTCAGTGTATTAGCCTTAATCAGTTGGTCTATATATACAGACCTCAGTGTACATGCATTTTCAGTTTTTCATTTTCAAGATATATGAAATTCAGTTTCTTTCAAATTCTCTGATTCTCTTGTCCTCTCTAGTCTATCTCTCTTTCGTTTATGGTATCAGCACTCCGATCTTGGGGCCCTGATCCATTTTTCTTTCTCATACATGGCTTCCGCTACACAAAACACTCGAGATACAGCTTCGTCAGCTACACAAAAAGCCTTTGGTGATACCAAATCACCTATACTCTTTAACACTCAGTTGTCAATGAAATTGACGAGCAAGAACTTCCTGTTATGGAAGCAGATTGTTGAACCACCAATCATAGCGCACCAACAAGAACGCTTCTTGGTTAATCCGAAAATCCCCTTGCGATTTCTATCTGAAGAAGACAGAGCTGCTGAAAATGTGAATCCAGCGTTTGTGATGGAACCCAGAAAAATACACTACTGAATTCATTAACAATGGAGGCATAGCCTCTTTTTACATACACTAATACAATATAAAATGCAGAAAATTAACCCAGAAAGCCTCAACTCCCCCTCAAACCAAATACCTAGGCTCAAGAGTTCCCTAGAGGTCTCCCATTTCCCCACTTACCAATTCTGAATACATGCATAAAGAAACCCCACCCTAAATATCTCTATATATACTAAATCCTAATTAATGGGCTTGGTTACTTTATTGAAGGCCCATCAGTTTGTTGAATGGGAGAAAACAGATAAAATGCTCCTTACATAGCTTCAATCTACTCTATCAGAGGAAATCATCAACAAGATTCTTGGTGTACGTCAGTCTCATCAAGCGTGGGACAAGATCCATAAATACTTTGATTCAGTGACCAAAGCAAAGGCCAATAAGGTCAGATCTGAATTACAACATATCAAGAAAGGTGGCAAGAACATCGAAGAGCACCTAGCACGAGTGAAAGCTCTTGGTGATACTCTATTAGAGTTCTTGTTTTCCGGCGACAGCAAACTTGACTCTTTCTCAACTTCCAGCTCATCATAACTGCAATACTTTGGTTGCTGCCCTGGATCACAGCAGTCTCATTCTCCATACTCCATTGCATCATCCTCTCAAGCCTCCTCATCTCAAGATGGAACGCCACGTGCTCTTGCTACGTCCACCAGTGGTCAGTTAGCTCTTGATTGGTATCCTGATTCAGGAGCCTCACATCACGTCACTGCAGACCTTGGAAATATGTTGCAAAGCAATCGATATAGTGGACCTGAACAAATTTTTGTTGGGAACGGTCAAGGTTTGTCTATAGCCTCTATTAGTTCAACCACTTTCACTTCTCCTTTCAATCCACACACCTCCTTACATCTACACAATCTTCTTCTTGTTCCCAAAATAACAAAGAATCTTATAAGTGTCAGTCAATTCGCTAAGGACAACAATGTCTATTTTGAATTTCATCCTACTCATTGTTTAGTTAAATCACAAGGGACCTAGGAGGTCTTGCTTGAAGGCTCTCTTGGACAAGATGGTCTCTATAAGTTCAAAGGACTTCAAGCTTATGCTCCAGCATTGTCTAATTCATTGTCCAAGTCTCCTCTCTGCAACATTATGACTAGTTCAATGTCTAATACTTTGTCTTGTAACTCAAATACCTGTAATAGTCAAAATATTTCTGTTTGTATTTCTGCACCAAATAATAGCTCATGTAATAGTCAAAATCTCACCTCTGATGTATCAAGGAGCCCATCTTCATACAGTCTATGGCATTCTAGGTTAGGACATCCTCATCTTGAGGCTTTGAAAAATTACTTACATAATGTAATATTTCTTTCCACAATAAAAATGCCATTGATTTTTGCTTTGCGTGTTGCATGGGAAAGTCTCATCTCTTGCCTTCCTTTCCTTCATCAACTGAATACCCAGAACCCTTCACTCTCATATATAGTGATTTATGGGGACCAGCCCCAATTCAGTCCTCACAAGGTTTTCTGTACTACATCACTTTTGTTTATGTCACCACTAGATTCACTTGGATATATCCTCTCAAAAACAAATCAGAAGCCTTAACTACATTCAAACACTTTCACTCACTCATAAAATACTCAATTTCAACACACCATCAAGTCTGTTCAAACTGATTGGGGGGATGAATTTAGACCCTTAACCAAATTTCTCTCTAAATTAGGAATTGTTCATCGTTTGATTTGTCCCCATACTCATCATCAAAATAGCTTAGTTTAACGCAAGCACAGACAAACAGTTGAAATGGGTTTAACTCTTTTAGATCATGCCTCTCTTCCCTTAAAATATTGGGATCATGCCTTTGCCACTGCTGTTTACCTCATTAACAGGCTTCCTACCTCTGCTCTAAATTTTAAAATCCCCTATGCAGAGCTTCACAAAACTCTCCCTGATTATCAGTTTCTTTGCATCTTTGGATGTGCATGTTTTCCTTTACTTAGACCATATAATAAGCACAAACTGGACTTTAGATCACAAGAATGTATCTTCTTGGGATACTCACCCAATCACAAAGGATATAAATGCTTTAGTCCTAAAGGCAGAGTCTACATTTCCAAAGATGTCATCTTCAATGAATTTTGGCTTCCATACTCCACCATTTTCACTAATAAATCCTCAACTCCATCTACTACTTCATTTTACACTAGCACTATTATTCCTTGGTCTTTGGCTCAGTCTACTGCTACCATTCCTTCAACTGTTTCTTCTTCATCAGTCGCCACTTCTAATTCTGGTCCAAATTCCTTTAATAGTCAAAGTCTAGTTATGGTCAACTCTCACTCACCATTACCATCTGAACACAGCCCTTCTTCCAGTCCTAAATCTGCCACTTCTACTGCTCCTGATACATCCCCTGTTGAGGTTCGGACTTCACCAAATCAGTCCTCTCCTTCCTCATCTAATGGTCAGTCTTATGTCCCAGCTTCACCTTACTTCTCACCCATAGCAGCTCAGACTTCATCCAGCACCTCTACTTCTACATCTTGTCAAAACACTTCAAGTACTCAAACACCTGTCTCCACTCACTCACCACACACACCTTCCTCCATTCCTCTTCTTTCACCTCCTCACCACCCTCATCTAGTTCTGCATATATACCTTCACCCCCATTGGGCACACCTCCTACACATAGTATCAAAACTAGATCAAAAGGTCCTGCCCCTATCATTTTGACTGCCAACACTGAACCAACCAGCATTAAACAAGCCTTGGCTGAACCCAAATGGGTACAAGCAACGCAACAACAAGAATATGATGCACTAATTGCTAATGGAACGTGGTCTTTAGTTTCTCCACCAGCTTCTAGAAAACCCATTGGCTGCAAGTGGGTATTTTGAATCAAAGAAAATCCGGCTGGGACAATAAATAAATACAAAGCTAGGCTTGTTGCCAAAGGGTTTGATGAAAGCCTCTAGCTCAGTGTATTAGCCTTAATCAGTTGGTCTATATATACAGGCCTCAGTGTACATTCATTTTCAGTTTTTCATTTTCAAGATATATGAAATTCAGTTTCTTTCAAATTCTCTGATTCTCTCTTCCTCTCTAGTCTCTATCTCTCTTTTGTTTACTCTCTTATACATTCATTCTTGATTTTAATTTTTTTTCTTGTACAGGCACTCATCTAAGACAACATTCTCATTTGAGACTCAAGGTTGACCCCACAAAAATTCAAACAGCCTAACAAGCTTAAAAAAATATACATGTTTCCTTTCACCTTTATGTCAAGTAATTGAAAACATTTGCAAAAAAAATAACCCTAAAAAGAACAAGCACTCAGCCACTGCCCATGTAATGTCACTGATGCCCCAAAGATTCAAAGTCCAGAATCAAATTTGAACCACAAGGGATGGGAGTGCTTAGCATACTAAATAAATTATTATTATTATTATTTGAACTGTAACAAATGAAAAAAATTGTGTGTGCATAACACTAGTAGTTTCTTTCTTTTTCTTTCACCTTTTTTTTAAATCAATCTCTCACGTTCTACAGCCACCACATGCTCCTCTTCTGCAACACCTTGAAAATATTTGTCCTATACATATCCAGAAAGCACACAACTGCTAGTATTTGCCACTTAGTTATTGAAGCTACACAAGCAATTTTCTTTTTCTTTTCAATAACCTAACCTATTATCTTAATATGCTAAATTACAATTGCATTCCTCCTCAATCCCCAAAACTAGGGTTCATGCTTCCCTCTGCAATCCGCGATACCTTTCAAATCCAAAACCCTAAATCAAAGGTACTTAACTTTATCAGCAACACATGGCTAAAGCCTAATATTCGAAAACACAAAATGCTATCGCGCAACGAGACAGAGAGAGAGAGAGAGAGAGAGAGAGAGAGAGAGAGAGAGAGAGGGAACCTGAAGAAAGAACGGGGAAAGTACGGTGGTTGGCGACGGTGGTAGCGGCGGCGAAGAAAGTGCAGTGGGAAATTGGTGAATCTATATCTGCAGTCTACACAATCCGTACTATTCCCTCACTGCATTTCCTCGTTTTATTCATAAAAATAAAAATAAAAATCCTTAAATTATGGATTTCATTGCAACTGCGAGTAAATTTAAAAGAAAAATATATTTTAGAAAATTACTAAAATCTAACTAAAACCCTGTTGCCTTAGTTTTTTACTTTAAAAAAAAAAATCTGCTTTTACTTTTTTCATTGTTAAATTTTGCTTTTACTTATTTTTATTGTATTACAGTTTTTAACTTTTTAATATAATTTTAAATTTTTAAAAAATATTATGATCATGGATTCCTTTTAAAAACTTCGAAAGTTGAGGTACCATTTCAATTCTGATAATAAAAATAAAAACGAAGATACATAATAAAAAGAAACATAAAAAAATATAATTTAATTAAGGGCAATAGTTTTCTCCTATTATAGGAGAAAATTATTATCTTCTCCCGAGACAATAATTAGGTGGAGCCCATCAATATTACAAAAAAAAAAAGATTGCTCGTGTAATATCTTTTTCTCGAGCCAGTTCATTTAACATACATATTATATTAAAACATGTATCAGCGAAAGACTTAACTTAAAATCTTGCATTAGCTTACGAAAATGCAAGCTAACTTTTTCCTTTTCTTTATTTCGTTTAGCATAATATATAGCATTATGTCCCTTGTTTCTTATCAATCAGAATTCTTTTTCTACGTATTCATATTTTCTTAGTCACCACCATAGCAATGGCCCTTGACTATCCGAATATGATAACAATTGTCAATCCAAACGAAGTCTAAAATTAAACATCGTAACAGTTGTAAATCGAACAAATAAGGATTAAATCTCACTCTCATAATCCATGCCTGATAAATATATCATGTTAAACATATCATATAATCATATTTTGTCCAACAACGGACCTAATATCTATCCATGGGCACATGCATAACTGGCTCTATGCCACTATGTCTAACAGCATACATATCTCAGCACATGCACATATCGGACTACTATATCATCATATAACATGCATGAATACACAAATGTACCTGCATCAAAAACCGAAAACATATACAAGCCATATACAGTATAATGGATTAGACATCATTATCCAAAAATGAATAGAACATGACGAATAAACAATAATCACATATACAAAACATATACAAGCCATATACAGTATAATGGATCAGACTTCATTATCCAAAAATGAATAGAACACGAATAAACAATAATCACATGTCCTCCAAAATAATGGCGGCATAATGCTACACACAGATCATGTCTCTACACAATGATGACGAATCATCCCAAAATACACATATCCACTACGGCACCTCTAGCCACGGGTTGTATCTTTGCCCCGTGAGGGCTCACCGGCTATCTGCACACCTTAAACGATGTCCCCAAATGGGGTGAAATAACGAATCTTAGTAAGCTCCAAGTTTATAGAGTAATCTTTATACCCTGAGCTTACACCTGCATGAAAGTCAGATACGGAGTTACAAAGCATCATATAAACAAATATCATAAACAGAGCTGAGCATATTCACATATCATATCAAAGATGTGCACAGTCATTCCCAAGGGAGGACCCCAAGCACAAATCAACGCAAGTGTGCCCATGGGTGGACCCCAAGCGAAACTCAACAATAACAGAGGTGTACACAATCAATCCCAAGGAAGGACCCCAAGCGAAAATCAGTGCGCATAAATTCATTGGCCAAGAGTCATCACAGTAATCACATCAGAACAAAACATATCATATTATCATATAACTCTATATGAATGCATCTATACTAAGAATAAGAAGACAAAAATACAATATCAACCATAGTCCACTAACCATGGTGGAGCACATAAATAGGAGAGCACTCCTTAAACATGGAGCTTACCTCTTGAAGCTTCACAAAATGGCTTACTTGTCACGCAAGCTACTAGCTTCTTCCAAAGTAAGATCTACCACAATGTCCCTAGGCACACCTAGAGATAGGAATCCAAGACAATCTCAATAAAATGTTAAAATGTTGTGTAGTATTACAAGACACACACACTTTATTGATTTCATCTTTACTCACCAAGTTTATGCTAATTATATGTCAACCCACAAGTCAAGACTATTTGTTCTTAAAACTCACCTATACCATTTAAGATTGATTACTTGTTCAACAACCACCACATGGTTTCATGCTTACATACGGTCTTAGAATGACATAACCATGCCTCTAAAATGCCCATTATAAATTTTAGAACATCCTAACCTATTTAGACCTCATATGGCTGAAGCCACATACAAGGAAGGCAAGAAGTTCCTCACCTCATTTTTTTCTTAATCCACAGCTTAACATACTCTTGACTTGACCCTTGAGTCATTCAAACACTCACTTTAACAAACGTACACTTACAAGCTCATTTTTTCATTGGATGGCCTAAATGCATAACAAAGGAAACCTTGACATTTTCACATATTTAATGCACTAACATATTATCAATGATTATTTAAACTTCATTACCCCACTTAGAAGTACTTCACTATGTCACTCAACTAATTTAGCACCATTAATCCCTCAACCACCTATATGGCTGAAACATATAGTAGGGGAATTGGTGGGAATTTTTATCAACTCAACTCATTTTAATTCATAATCATACCGATGCAATACATTGGAACCTCAACACATCATTAAAATAATTTTACCAGAGGAAGGTTATATTTACAAATTTTTTATTTATAAACTCTTACAAACTACACTATGTCTGACCGGTAATACACTCTGAGTATAGTATTACCGGTCGGACATAGTGTAGTTTGTAAAAAGAATATTTGTCAATATAACCCTACTCATTTTGCTAATGGCCAAAACCTAAAAGGGAAGGGTCCATATGGGATTTTTCTTTATATTTTTAATTGTCCACTTAATTCACAACTTACACATGCTCACAAGTCTCCACAACATGTCCAATTAAAATTTTGCACATCACACCCTACATGGGTACACTATGGCTAAAGCCTAAAAGGAGGGATTCATGGAATTTTTCCAAACTTTCTAATCATATACATGTTCACCTCACATTACTACATCATATTCATCAATAATCCAACACAAATTCAAATTTCAAACTTAACAATTTTCCATCATAACATACTTACATTTTTCAAGACTTACATCATGAAAATCACACCATATGAATATAAATTTCTTACATCGAATCACTTATACAAGGTCCAAGGAACAAAACCCTAGTTAGCTCCATCATAATGCACATTTTCACCTCTTGATGAATAGTGCCAAGAATTGGGGGAAGGGAGGATCACTTCACACAAGCAATTTTAGCACAAATTAAGTAGATAAATGGATTCCTTGGATGATTTCCTATCAATTTCGTGTAATACACTTAAACATTTGGTTGAGTGTGGAAGGAGAAATCAAGAGGAGAAAATTTGAAAAACCTAAGCACCCATGGGAGAGTGAAGCTCGGCCTTGAGGAGGGAGAAGATGAAGAAGATGAAGTGAATAATGTCTCTTTAAGTTACTTAAAGCTTATATGACATATGGTCTAATTAACGGATGTTTTCTTCTCACTTAATTTCACTTAACTTGACCCGGAATTAACTCAAAGCTACGGATATAATTTTATTTTTATGAGCTCATTTACATTAAATTTTATTCCCTAAGGAACAGTATTAGCAATTCACAGTTGGGTTTTTGCACCATTTTTTACGAAATGTACTTTGAATCACTACTGTGCATTGTTTGTACGCAATGTTGGACAAGTGGCTTCAATACTCAAGAGGGGGTGAATTGAGTTTTACAAAATCTTTTCGCAAAGTGCCTTCTTTGATATATTAAAGATTATTTCTTCAATAAAGTGATTTAATAATGAAAAGTCTAAGTGTAAGAGCAAAAGTAATGATCAATAAAGCAAGCAAGCAAATAGATAAACACAATCTAAAATGCAATTTCAATAATAAAATAAGCAGTTTAAGGTTAGAGAAATTGCAAACTAGATGTATCCTGGTTCGGTCACCACCACCGTGACCTACGTCCAGACTGAAGCCGCTCGATCAAGTCTTTTCACTAGCTATCAAGCTTGAGGGTGCTTAACAAACCACTACAACCTTTCAAGACTTCGGGCTCTTGATGCCTTACAATTTTTTCACTCCAAATTTTCTTAGGAATTTGGTGCCCTCACTAGTAGGGTCTCCCCTAACAATTCAAGAAATCAAATGGAGGTGTTTAACAATGGCTAAGTATTCTCAAAGTACAAATAATACAAGTTGAAGAATTATGGGTGTTGACACTCTCACAAGAATAAAGCTCAAAGATGATTTATGCTCAAGATGATTGAAAGTAAGCAAATGATGTGACTTAAAGCAAGAACTATGATCAAGAAGAGTTGTCCAATCAATGGAATAATGGTCACTATTTACAGAGGCCCCCCATGACCCTTTGCACACTCATTTTCGCAAAAATAGCCGTTTATAGCCGTTATTTTCGTCCTCTGGTGCAATAGGAATCGATTCCCCATGAGTGGGAATCGATTCCCAACCTTTCAGATGAGTGGGAATCGATTCCTGCTCACAAGGAATCGATTCCCAACCTATTAGAAAGGCTGAAAATACGTTTAAAATTATTTTAAACCTTTTCAAACATGTTTTCATAAATGCGTAATGCTATAAATCCTTTCTACAATCAAATGGTAATTTAATGCATGTATTTTAACAAAAATACATTTGAGCTTATTCATGCAAGAAGTCAGTTACCCTCACAATTAATTCTAAGTCCTAAAGTATATTACTTGATAATTTTTGGACTTAGATTCTTCTCTTGAAGCTTGAATCGTGAGGGACTTCATGATCGTTTGTTTGTTTCTTTTTTATTGTTGCAACTTGAAGCCTTCCTTCCGTACTTTGTTTATTGTAACACCCCGTGTATACCCGGTAATGTTATCATACTATCGTATTAAGCTGCGCTTAATTAAAATGCGAAATATCTTTTCCTTTTCAATTATGACGTCATTA